ATATACGGTAAAGTTCTACTGAAAAACGGGGGGTGAAATACTAATATTAGTAACAGCTTGTATTCCGAAACAGTTAGCAAAAACCAATAGTGGCGAGTAGTTTATGAAATTTCACTACAATTACCTTGGGCAAATTATCGAGAAGTAATAACGCAGGATCATGACAGCTTGCATCCTCGTAGTCATTATCAACTCTTACAACTCCCTACATAGCGCAATATTTAAATCTTTAATAAAATAACGCTAAATTGTATAAATACCACCTTACAAACAAAAATGACCACAGTACCCTTTCGACATCCTGACGAATAATTTCAGCATGCGAGAATTTATCACCGACTTCTTCGACGTTGTGATCCCAATCGTAATCTTTGCTTTTCGTCTCATTAACTACCGTTTGGGAGAGAGCATCCTCGAAACAACCAGTATGTTCAGTAACTTCGACGTCAGCACCACCTGGGTTGGCGGTAGGGAGTCGCTCGGCGTCCGTACCGATAGCAAACGCACGCTTACTTTCCATTCCTGACACCGACGACAGGTATCATATGCGAACAACGTGCTAGCAACAAGGTTACTACTGGCTTCCAGTATGGTAAATGTGGGAAGGAAGAAAAGGTCGCATATCCCGTGACGATCAACGTGGGAATGTCGGCCAAAATGTTGATATCCACCTCGACAAGGCTTTCCTAACATATTGATATAATATTTACAATCGATGAAACGCACCTAATTGTCATTTCACTCCTCCCATGTAGTTTGAGCCGGGTGGCAAGTCATGTAATTGTAACCAAACGCTAACTTAAGTTTAATTTAAGCAGCAAAATAAGATTAATTCTACCCCCCTCCAACGCTAATTGTTATTATTATTAGTATGCTGCTCTTCGCCGTTCATTATAATAAATAAACGTTGTCACCCACTTACCACGTTGAGGTGGCAGCATATCAAGTGGGTCGTCTTGAACAGGATCAACACATTTCAGGGATCAACCATTCAAGACGTTACAAAAAATTATACGATATATCGCATTGAAAGAGTATCCTAACCAGTAGGACTGAGTATCCTAGCCAGTAGGATTAAGTATCCTATCCAGTAGGATCAATTAGCCTATCCAGTAGGTTAAAAGACTACGTGCACTGGTTTGAGCATCCATGGAGGGAGCCAAGTATTTATATTTGTTGCGAAAATGTCCTGAAATATGGGATGCGGGACTTCCAATTGGGCTGCATGTAATAATATTACTTTCCGTTTTTTCCACGAAATATTGTTTATTGCTGAATATTACACGCGGTCTGTGAATTGGACGCGTCTGTAAACAGTAACCCCTTTTCCCGTTTTGGCAAGAGTGTAATTTTTGGCGTTCTGTTGTCTTTAATCAAAGTTACCACATTAATACAAACTTATCTCATTTATTGTATAGTGTATTAGCTATGTTTACTCTTTATTACGCGTTGTTTACAGACAATCTTTTTACAACCCCATTTATAATATTCAACGAGTGTCAATGAGGAAAATACTGATCAGTTTGGTTCTTATTATTTTACGCAAATCTATTAAAGCAAGTGTCTAGAAACGTTGCGTTGCTGCTCATATCAACTATCGCTATAGGTACAAAAAAACCTCGCCTGAATTACCTAATTTATTATGGTGTTTATTGGGTTTATTTAACTGTTATAATCACGGTCATTTATCACTTGTTTTCTCTTTGAAGCTTTAACAGGAAACAATGCAAGAAACGTTTATTACTCGGCGATCGCTAAAAAGCTTACAATGGGAGCGATACATCCGCTGAAAAATCAGTTTATGATACACACAATCGATTTACGATACAACGGCGCGAAATTATTCGCTGAGAAAACCGATAAAGAAACGAGAGTTACAGATGTTGTGTTAATTGTCAAAACGGGGCGAGTTTTCCGTCAGCTCGTTTCAGTATGTGATTCTCCGTGGTGTTTAATAACTTTCTTAACCAACGCAAGAAGGCTAAGACCGATGGTGTTAAGTGAAGAAGTGTAGTGGCGACACTATGACGTTTAGATGGCGAATTACAATTATAGTCTACCGAACAAAACTATGTCTACGATACGGCTTGATACAACAAACGACTTGACATTGCCGGACTTTATCCAATCGAACAAATAACTCAATTACACAATGTACATTGTCATCATTATCAACCTCTGAGTATGGATAACGTCTCGCATGAGTACGACACATGTTGAGTGATGGAAATCGCTCTTACGAATTATTCGATTGTCATCAATCTTGAGATCTTTCACATTATTATTGCTGTATAATTTAATAAACCGAAAGTTGATTCCGATGTCGACTAAGGATATCGTTTAGCCTATGAAAATGCATTTTAAACGAGTTACTCGTATTTTGCTGCACCTATGTCTTGCTCAACGCCTAGCGAAGAGTTAATTCTTTAATTGCAAGAGAAGGTAATTATGATTCGATATAGCACCGAGCGAAATATCAATAATATACACTAGTTGGGTTAGGCTTCCCTGAATCTTAGTAGGAATACGAGAAGTTATTATCGGGAATGTTTGTCTACACATGTGACGACTCGTATGCATAACAGCTATGAATTGGGCGTTTTGAGAGATTGGCATGGTCATTTCGGGAACAAGTACGAATGTGTTGAAGAATTAATCACTGGTTAAGCTATCCCGCTCTCTAAATCACAGTTGAGTCCTTCTTTTCCCAGTTTTCTCAACGTGTAGACATTTTGCACAAATTCTTGTTTTACGGTAAGAGGAATGCCGTTTACAACAGAGTATCAAAAAACTAGAGATGTTATCAGTCTAATCAGGACTTCAATTCCTGTAGTCCAGTCCAATATACAAGGCGGTCCAGTCCCGTGTTTTAGTCCATGCGGTCTCACAGAAATTTAATAACAATAGGACTGCGGTTGCAAACTCAGGTCCGGTAGGATTGCGGTCTCAAGCTCTGGTCCTAGGACTGCGGTTTTAAGCTCTGGT